TCCATTGGGTGCTGGATCTTGCCTGCTTCTCCCACAGTGGGAAGCGGGGGTGAGCTCCTAGCAGGTGGAGTGGTCCCTGAGCTGCAGAGGACACTGGTGCTTCCCTCTGCAGTGGGAGCGATCCCAGGTGACACCTGCTTCCTGGCACCTGGCCCAGGTGTCCCAGAGGGCACTGTCACCATGGAGGGAAGCACGGGGTCCTGCACAGCTCAGAGGCTGTGAAACCTGGCAACAGCCAATGCAGGTAGGCTCAACTGAAGAAAAAGTATTAAAAAAATAAAGTGGCAAGGAGCCTGATTTTTTTTTTCTCTCAGAACCTGCCTGCCTGCCTGAGCTTCCAGGGGCCCATTGTTTCCCTCCATAGCTGCAGGGAAGTACCAGGCCCCCATGCAGCTCAGGCACGCAGGCAGGCTCCAGGAGAAAATCAGGCTCCTTGTCGCTTTATTTTTCCCATCAGTTGAGCCTGCCTGCATGGGATTGGGATGCCACAAGTTTGCATAGCCCCTAAGCTGTGTGGGGCCTGTGCTTCCCTCCATGGCTGCAATGCCCCCTGGGACCACCTGGGGCTGGGTGCCAGTGGGCAGATGCTACCTGAGGGGGCACTGTCACTGCAGAGAGAAACACTGGGGTCCCCTGCAGCTCAAGAACTGCTTGCCCCCCCTCCCCCACCATGGGAGAGGCATGTAGGCTCTAAAGATAAGGCCACCTAACTCTTGTGTACACATGATGTGGGTTTAGTTTGGTTAATTTTCCCTAGATTGAAACAGTGGAAATGGTGGGATTTTAAAAACTCACTGTTTCAATTTAGGGAGAACTAAACTGAACAAAACCCCCATCATGTGTACAAGCACCCATGGAGAAAGAGGCATTGGAAATCCTGTCAGTGGAGTAAAACAAGCCTTGTAACAGAATTAAGTATATTTTATAAGTGTATAGTTATTTTATTTTTATCCATGTATTTCTTTTGCTCAGATGTTGACCAAACAAAAATAAATCCCTAAAGACAACAAACACAGGCTATAAATAAGTTGCATCAATGCTTGTAGGAAACACTTACTTACGTTAATAATGATAACATTATAAAAAGATTTTGAATGTGTTAATTTAGTTTTCAAGCTAGCCAAGTCTGACGTGACTGACTTCCATTGCAAAATTCTCAAAGGCCTCATTAGTATCAGAAAAAGAAGGAGTGGGTGATCAGAGGGAGCTGAGGAGGTCATGAAATTATGAGATCATTACCTTGATGAGGAAAAGGGAAAGGAGAAACATCTGTTTGGGCTGAAGAGAAAAGAAGATGAAAGCTAAAGCTAAAATATTGCAAAGGGAAAGAAGCTTCAGGCCATTTAGAGTTATTGGAACATTCCTAAAAATGAGCCTTTACACTTCTGACATTCCAGGCATCTCCAAACCAAAGATTTCTCCTGCATTAACATTTCCCCTCCTTCCTGGTCCCAGCTTTGTTTGATTCAGTTCATTACACTGTGATGGGCTAGCTGGTAATGATTTAGCCCAGGGGTTTTGAAAGGGTAAAAGATGATTGGAGGGCTTGGAATTCCCTTTCCTCAGCAATCAGGCCCCAGACACTCACCTTCCATGTTCCTCTTGGGTCACCTGGAGGGCAATAAAAGCGGCAGTGCAGCTGACTCAGGGGAGACCAGTGAGGAACCACAAGGAAGGAGTTTCAAACAGCTGGCAAGAACTGGGCCACCGTGCAGGAGCAGTTGCCCCAGAAGATCCTGAAGGAGTGGGACCTGCAGGCATCAGTTGGACTTTCAGCAGTGCGGTGTGTAGCCAGCAGGAGAGGTTCTCCACTGGACTCCAGGATCCCCTATGAGAGGCTGTGGCAAGCAGGAGAGGCTCCCCAGATCCAGCAAGGATCTGAACAATGACCTGAGAGGTTCCCAGCTCTGCTTCCAGCTCCTCCAATAAGAGGCTAGGAAGCTTGATGTGAGGCAGGGGCTGCAGGAAGGTCAAGACCCCTAGCAGTCTGGACCAGTACCAGCACTGATGCCTGTGTGATAGTGGTTTCTGCCTATCACATGGGAGAGCTGAGTTCAAAACCCAGCTAGGGTGAGTGAAGTGAAAGGTTGAATTCTTGTTGCACTGGAAAGGGGTCATTGTGTTTTCCCTCTTCCCCTCCCCGCCCCGCAGGTACCTAGACCCTATATTTCTTGTTATTTTACGTTTTGCATTTTGTGTCTTTTATATTTTGCCAACCAGTATTGTGTGTTCTGCTGTTTGTGTTTTTATATTTTGTTAACCCTGTCTCTTTTGTCAACTGGATGAATATGTCTATGATTCAAAGTGTCTAACCTTTATTGAATCCTGCTCCCTCAGGGTGTTGTAGTGTCCCCTATACCCCCTGGTTTATACCTGTTGTTATGTTCCCACTACTGTTCTCTCATTAAAAGGTATATGGTTAAGTCCCCATTGGTGATCTGACTCTGCTCTATAGGGGGAGGAGGGTCTCTACATCTCCCACAGTGCTTGTGCAACTGCTCTGATCCCTTCAATTGGAGAGGGGATACATCTTGGAGTACTGCCCGAGTTACAATATCATGTGTTTATAAAATGGTATATGCTTGATATATGCTTGAAATTTTATTAAGCATGCCACTCTTGAAAACATAGCTAGTGTTTCTACATATGAGTCAATATTTGGCTAGTAGCTGAATTTTTAAGTGAGCTCTTCTAGAGATTTCAAGCTCTAAATATTCTTCCCTTGGATGGTCTTTGTTGCTTCTTTAAGAATCTCTAATTATTTTCTAGTCAAAGTAGTAGTCTGCTTGCCGCAGAAGGCAGTATTTGCAATGATATGGAGACCTAGCAATGACTCTTTCCATTGACTCAATAGCAGGTCTATTATTTGTGCTTGTAGCAGGACACTAAGGTGCCTGCTACTGAGAGAGCACGGAAGACTCCTCAGGTGCTGGTTGCCAAGGCAATGGGAGCCAGCAAATGACCCACACCTGCCAGCGGTCAGCTGGCTATAAGAGGCAAGGCCCGGCTCTTATGAGAGGGAGGGGAGCTGAGATCAGAGGCAGTTGTTGACTGGCATCTAAGACAGAGGGAGTTCCCTATCAACAGCTAAGGATGAGGGAGCTCCTGGCCAGAAGAGAGAGGACCTGAGTGCCAGAGCAGTATTGGTCACTGCGGTAGGAGAGAACGTGGTAGGCCTGAGCCTAGCTATAGCTGGAGGCTTATGTTTGCGTTGTAGCCCAGGGGCTTGTGTTTATGTTGTTGTTTGTGTTTGCTATTGTTACACCGGTGGTTTGGGTGAGGCTATAAGGGGATGGAGGAGGCCTCATAGGGGACTCACGGTAGAGTGAGGATCTCAGCCCCAGTGAGGGCACGGAGTTCGGTGGTACAGGCCCCAGCTCCAAAGAAGAGCCCGGTGAGAAGGGCAGCCTTGCAGAGGGGAGAGCCCGGTGAGAAGGGTGGCGTATAGAGAAGGCCCGCAAGGCTTAGAGATGCCGGACACCCAGAGCAGGAGAACTGTGGCCAAGTGAAGGAGAGGTAGCCTCCCTACAAAAACACTTATCATCAAAGTCGTGGCGGGCGAGAATAGGAGATGCAAGTCCGAAGCTTGGCACAGTAGAGGAGGCGGCAAGGGCTAGCACGGTGACCCTGCCGTCCCTCCTGTTACAGTGCTCAATACAAAAAATACATAAATTGGCAAAGTTTTTTTTTCTTGGTGCTTTGCATCACATTCAGGATGATGCACTTGGTTTTATGACATCTACAACCACTTCTGCAAACACATTAACAGCTCAGTCAATGGTAGGATTAACT